AACACCCTGAAGCTGGATTTTTTTGAAGGATTTAATCCCTTTCTTTGGAAACTAATGCTTGAAGGGGGAGAAAATGAACAACTAGCTGAGCGTAGGTTTTAGCTCCCCAGGGCACTGCAGATGAACGGTGCTCTTAGTGCTGGGATCAGTGCAGAAGATATGTTATGGGCTTGGGGCACTGCCACACGTGTCGCTTGGTTGTGTTATCCTGTTGGTTTCAGGATTGCTTGTGAAGTTACTAATGTGTAATGCTGCTGCTCAAACCCAAATCTTCAGGAAAAATAACGTGTTAAGAGTAGTTCAGGCAGAACTTAGTCCATGAGAGCTCTGGATATTCACATAGCCCATTCCTAGCATCTTTCAGCCCAGTAGCTTGTAGCAAATAACGCACAGAAAGGGGTTGAATGTTGTTATCCTGCTACCTAAGATGGTGGACAGCCAGGTTGACCTCTGCCTCCTATTTATTCACTCAAAACGCCCAGGACAAGCATCTTACCTAAGCTTATACACCTCAGCTTGAACTGCTTAAACACGATGCTTTTCTTTAGCCATAAAAAAAGCTCAGTTTTCTCACTGTGTGTTGGGTGGTGGGGTGCTACCACAACTTTTGGGAGAACAGGAGTAGACTGATATGCATCTATACCAGTCATGCAATGGTTTATACCAGATTTTCTCACCTTGTGCTTAGTTTTGGGTCTAGTTTCCTTTTTTTCTCTTCTCATAAGTGCTGGCTGTAAAGTGGCTCAGTCAATAGCTGGATCTTGGCAGGACTTTGAAATTTGAGATTAGTATGGTCTGGTTTGAAAAGCTTCCTAACATCTCCTTGCGGCATGTTTTTTTCCCCTGTCGCAGGAAGTAAAATTGTCCAGCCCTGATTACCGGGACTGTAATTCGACTGATGCCATGGAAGACTTCATGAAGAGGATCAATTGTTACCAGGCCAGCTACCAGCCACTCGACCCTGATGACTATGACAGGTAAGAGACTTTGCTGACTTCTGAACTGGCTTGAATGCCTTTCCTCTCCCAGGAGAGGAGTAATGAAGCATGGGGCTGTATTTCACTTTGTCTTCAAATACGTGACTGTGCTAGAATAATGTCCAGCCAAGCCTTGTGGTCAATTTGTCGTCTTCCTTGAAAATGCTGGTTTTCCCCAGCCCTGTGCCAGGGAACCAAGCATTGAAACCTTCCCAGCCTCTTCTGGGCTCAGATACACTGGTTCTGCAGGCCCAAATACAAAGGTTTTGGAAAAGCAGTTTGGTTTGAGTGTTTAAGGAAGGGACTGCTTGAACAGGCTCAAACCACAACATTGAGCAAGCCCTGTGGTTCCTGCCTAGTTGTGTGCCCTGGGAAGACCTTTGTTCTCCTGCATCACCATGCAGGCACCTCCCAGCCTTTCCGCTGCTCACAGATACATCTGTGCGCCCTGCATGGATAATCCCAGTCCTGCTGAGCCCTGTCCGGGGGAGGAACGTGCTTCCTGCTAGTCTTGTTTAATCCTCTTTACTGCTGCAAGGAGGAATGGTGATTACACTGGTGTTACTTAGCTCTCCATGAATTGCAGTTACCTGTTGGCTTCCTGTTAAAAATAGCCTGCAGGAAATCCTTTTAACTGGGCGATTATGTTGACTGAGATACCTCACACGGCTGTTTATCAAGGGTGGTGTTTCTTTCTCCACTGGCAACCCCCTCATCCTTGCTGTGGTTTTCCTAGGGAGCTTTCTCTCATCAAAGTCATCGATGTTGGCCAGCGGTTCCTGGTCAACAGGGTTCAGGACCACATCCAGAGCAGGATCGTTTACTACCTGATGAACATCCATGTTCAGCCCCGCACCATTTATCTCTGTCGGCATGGCGAGAGCGAGTTCAACCTTAAGGGGAGGATTGGAGGTGACTCAGGCCTCTCCAACAGGGGCAAGAAGGTAAAGGGGAAGGGAATATTCCCCTGTGGCTTCTACGAGTGATTTGGCTGTAGCAGATACCATGCATCGTGTTAAGTGTATATTTGATGACAGCTGGGGTGCTCAGAGGATCCATCTATAGGGCTGGTTAAATTTGGGCTTGGGCATGGCCTCAAAAAGAGACTTCGCAGCCATCAGCATTGCATGTAGGCTTGCATGTAGTTAGGGGTTAACAGAGGTTGGGATGCAGAAATCTCTAGGAGAGAAGGGTATGTGTATCTTCAATGAATTGTTTCAGACCTTGCACAGGCAGGGAGGGCTGTAGAAGGACTGCTGCCACCCTTCGGTAGGGAAGGCCAACTCCGAGGGTTCCTTCAGATTGCTCAGTACTTGATTCTTCAAGGACGTGGTAAAGCGCATGCTTCAGGGAGGGTTAATAGCTGTTGTGGCTTGCCAGACCATTTTGAAGTCCAAATGGAGTCATTTGAGGTGTGACTATTATCAAAGACTACAGGATACATTGATTTAGCTCTATGACAGATAGGCAGAGCTGTGGTTAAGGGTGGCCAGGGATCTTCCATAGCATCGGAGAAGAGCCCACGTTGTAGTGCTGTTTCTTGGATGCTGATGTTGTTCCTTGATGACATTAGGTTGCCGCTTTCTCCTCTGCTTTCTCTCTGTTCTCATACCCCTCATAGCTTTTGGGGATCCATGCACGTGTGGCTGCCCTTCACCTTAGAGCAGGAGGTTAATATGTCTGCCTGTGGAAGGCAAAAGTTGTCCTGGAAAAGGCAATGTTTACTGGGAAGCAGGGAAGAAGGCCCACTGGGAAGCTGTGGATCAGGAATCAACCTCTTTTTTTGTCCCACAGTTTGCACTGGCACTGAAGAAGTTTGTTGAGGAGCAGAACCTGAAAGACCTCAAAGTCTGGACCAGCCAACTAAAGAGGACAATCCAAACGGCAGAAGCTCTCCAACTGCCCTACGAGCAGTGGAAGGCACTCAATGAAATCGATGGTGTAAGTATCTTTGCAGTAGGAACAGCTGGAATCATGCTGGTTGCTGCTTGGCAGAGAGGGTGATAGCACTGGCCTTTTCACTTTTGCCTAAATCCCACCGGGGAGATTTTCCTCCTGTGGGAGAGGGTGGTACTTCTGCTGCAGTACTCATAAATTGGCTTCTGATCTTAGCTCTACCTTATGTGGATGTTTCAAGATGTTGGCTTGAAGGAGCAGATTAAAATGATTTTTTGCTTGGAACTGCTCTGTAGCTGACCACTGAGAGGGTTATAGACAGTTATTTGGAGAAGGTTTTGCATGTTGGGTGTGCTGATTCTTTTTGACTTGAGCATGTAGTAACTTCATGGATGTCCTGTTCTGGCAGGGTGTGTGCGAAGAAATGACGTATGAAGAAATCAGGGAGCAGTATCCAGAGGAATTTGCTTTACGTGATCAGGATAAATATTACTACCGCTATCCTTCTGGGGAGGTAGGTCTGCAAGGAGACCTTCAGAGATGTGACTTTTACTTTAAACATGGCTGCCTTGTCTTCATGCTGTCCTCTACACTGAGAGCAGGGTGCTCCAAGAAACTAGAATCAAGAAAGGTCAGGGCTCATGGTTACCTTTTGCATTGAGCTTTTGTGAAATTGTGGTATGTGAAGATCTCATTAAGAAATGCATCACTTAACAAACAGTCCCACTGACTTTACAGCAAATTAGTAGGAAGGGGGCCCTGGAGGTTTCTAGTCCAACCTCCTCCATTACATCCATGCAAAGTGTTGTGCTGCCCCAATTTCCTTTTCTTTCTTTTCCAAAGAAGCAACTTCTCCCCGTGCTCTCATGTCATTTCCTAGGGGTTGATGTTGATATCTCTGTTCCTGGCAATCTGCTTTCAGGGTGTGACACAATGAGGTGGGAATTGACATCAGTTCTGGGTGATACTTTAGGTTGTGAATTGGGCTGTTTATCCCCAAATTAAGTCACATCCACAGACACGTGGGAAAAATCTTTGGAGACATCCTCATGACAGCGTACCTAACAGGAGAATGTTTGGGGATGTCTGACACTGACTCTGGATGTCTGGGGTTCCTTCTGGCTGCCTGTTACTGTTCTTTATGAAGTCCTTCAAAACTCTGGAGATTTTCGGGTTGCTCCAGACTTTTTGGAACTTAGAAATCCTGTAGAAAATCAAATTTCAAGATGATAGAGAGACACTATGCTCAAAGCTCCTGTGCAGTTGTTGCTTACCTTAAACTCTCCAGGACTGTAACTGAGATGTAAATGGCTTGTCTCTCCTCTGACCAGATGAAGTAGCTATGTTCCAGAGTAGCCTGAAGATGAGGATTTGTTGAACTTTGCTTGTTTTTAGCAGTAATTACGTTTGTTTAGTCAGAGGCATGAAATCAATAGGTGTACCAAGACAAGGACCATTGTTTCTTGTGAGGTGCTCGTTTTCTTGATTCTATGCCGTATCTCCCTTCTCTTCTTCTGTTGTAGTCTTACCAAGATCTGGTGCAGCGCCTAGAGCCAGTCATCATGGAGCTGGAGAGACAAGAGAATGTCCTTGTGATCTGTCACCAGGCTGTCATGCGCTGCCTCCTGGCATATTTTCTGGACAAGAGTGCAGGTGAGCTCCCTGTCCCTGGGAAGAGGACTGATCCTGCTGGAGGAAGGATGATAGGTGGAGCTCTGAGAGATGGGAGATGTGTTCAGGTCAATGCAGGGCCTGGAGCCTGCATCTCTGGTGTGGAGTGGCCTTAGGTGTTGATGAAGATGTCTAAACTGCTTTTGGAGAGGGGGTGGGATAATCCTCCTGCTTTGCTTTCTCTGCAGATGAAATGCCCTACCTGAAATGTCCCCTTCACACAGTGTTGAAGCTGACCCCAGTGGCCTATGGTAAGTGGGGCTTTCCTACTAAACATGCCAAGGAGTTCGCTTTGTACCGCCTCCTGAATCTAAGCTGCTTCTGGGAGAAGAGCAGGGGTCTGGGGTGGAGCACTTCCTAGCATCCTGTGCCTGTTGCTGATAGCCTCCGTCTCCTTGTGCTCCCTTCTGCAGGGTGCCGGGTGGAGTCCATCTCGCTGAACGTCGAAGCCGTCAACACCCACAGGGAACGGCCAGAAGTGAGTGTTGCTTTTCTTCAGAGCCATCCCTTGGTGTCCCCATGCTTTCCCCTATGGTCAGCTGGCAGCAAGGATGCCTGGGTTGGGCGTGGGGAGATTGCTCAGCTAGACGCTCAGAGCGCTGCTGGAGGACTGGAGCATCAGATGGGTTCGATTGCTCTGCAAAGATGTGGCCAGTTGAGGATTTTCTGAGGGAAAAGGACTGTTGCATGTGCCTGCTTCACACTGTGTTTGCCCATATTAAAGGTGGCCCAAGGAAAGCTCCTCCTTGGTCTTTAACTTTCACCTGTGCAGTCACCTGCTCACCTGAGCAGGGAACGGAGCCATGGATGGAGAAGGTGACTTCTCCCAGGTCTCCCAACTGGCTGGCAGAGCCCAGGCTCAATGCCTTGCCCAACATCTGCCTTTGTTTTTTTTCCTGGCGTGCCCACAGCTCTGTGTGGCTACTAGAGTGCTGTTGCGTAGGGTGGGAGGTGCCGGCGCTGGGCTGGGATGCTGTGGGGAGAACACCCCTCGCATGGAGGAAAACCCCTGTAAGGTCAGGTCTGCCTGCCCCGTGCTCCACCGGGAGCTCGGAGGTCAGATTAGGGGGATGCCAGCGTGGTGTTGGGGGTAGGCAGCCACCCAAGGGGGCCCCCAGGGACCCTGGCAGTGCCCATGTCCCAGCCGCTGGGACCTTTCCAACTTGTGCATACTGGTGATGGACCCTGGCTGGATGTTGGATGGTCAGAGTCGTCCCCTTTTGGCCCACGCTTCCCTTGCTTTGCTTCCCAGCCTCAGCAGGCAGCAGCATCTTGAGCCGCTTCTCCCTCCCTGTGGCTGTAGGTGGGGAAGCCGGTTCTTCCCCCCGCTGTGGGGGCCATCGATGCCCTCCTCCACCACCCTTGCTGGGGATGCCAGGAGAGCTGTGGGCTGCGGGTAGGACAGAGCAAGACACATGCAAAGCGCTTGGGTCCCTCTGCTCGGCTGCGCGGGTGTGTGCCCCTCCATCCCACCTTGCTTGAGCTGGAGCTTGGCGCGGTGCCGACCCTCGCTGGCTGCTTTGTCCCCACTTCCTAAATCTTCCTTATCAGCCCGGGCTGGCTTGTCTTCCCTCTTCTTGCTTCACACCCCTCCCTGGGTCAGAGGGACCAGCTTCAAGGAGGAGACTGATGGGCACCTCTTTCTGTCATGCGAAGTCATGGCTTTTGATTACCACTAGAGTTTTTTAGCAATCTGTATTTACTTTTTTGTGAGCAGAGGCTCAGGTGAGGAGAAAGTCTGTCTCATTTCTGAGTGCAGGGCCTCTTTGGCTTTTTTTCCTCCCTTTCTTGGGGAAACCATGCTATGCTCTTGAACATTTTGCATTAAGGTTTTTTGGTGTCCAGAGCCTTTCAATGCATCCTTTGCATGTCAACAGCAATTGTGGGGAAAAGCAGAGGCCACTTTAAGAAAGAAAAAAAAAACCCAACCAACCAAATAAAAAGAACCCAAACCCGAAACAACCTGCTTCTATTTTTTCCTTTATAACTGTCGCCTTCTTCCCTTTTTTATTTTTTTATTTACGTTTTTCCTTTGTCTCACTCTTAATTTAGGAAGCAAAGAAGGGACCTAACCCGCTCATGAGACGTAATAGCGTTACCCCTCTAGCAAGCCCAGAGCCCACCAAAAAACCTCGCATCAACAGCTTTGAGGAGCATGTGGCTGTTTCTTCCGCCCTGCCAGGCTGTGTTCCTCAGGAAGTGCCCACGCAGCTGCCGGGACAAGTTAGTTGAACTCTCTTTTTTTTTTTTTTGTTGTTATTCTTGTTGTTTTACTGTTTGTTGTCCTTTTCCTGTCGCTCCTGAAGCTGGGGAAGGGCTTGCACTTGTCACAACCTGTGCTGCTGTCTCTGAGATACATCTTTCTCCCATGGCTGCTGTCTCTCCCTGCCTTGGGTTGGTTTCAGGAGCACCTGGCAAAGGGTCGCTGTTTATCCTTTCTTGGGTTTTGAGAGCGTTGTAAACACTCCAGAGCTTTAGCTGTGTTAATGCAGTGCCTTCACCATCTGTCATCATGGTGTCAAACCCCTGGGGAGCCGCATCTCTAGAGTGGGCAGGACCGAAGGGCTCGTGCCTTCCTCCTGGATGCGCTCAGCTCTGGCATAGACCTGGGCATTGCAATAAAGCAAATATTCTTGCACTTCCCTTGAGAAGGAGCTGTCAGGACCCATCTTTGACTTGAGAGGTCTCCTCCTTCCCGGAGCAATAGGCAAAATGAACCAAAAATGAGTAGAAGTGTCTTGGCATGGTGAACCTGGTTGCCTTCTGCAGCCCTGGGTGAAACCCTGTGGATAGCTGCTGTGGTGCTCATGTGTCCTCTCTTTCACCCACCCATGAGGGACGTAGAAAGAGAGACCTTGCTGCACACTTCTCCAGGAACAACCCATGATCCCTGTGCTTGTTATGGGGCTGGGGTGGTACTGGAGAAACAGCATAGATATATAGGAGCCTTCCCACCAGCCGCCTGTTGGATCTCGCCATCTCGCCCAGCCCCTCTTCGCGTTGTCTGTGTTGTCTGGTGTCCTCTTGCCCAGGATCTGGCCGAGGAGGGGCAGGTTAGGAAGGTGCTGTGCTCCTCCAACCGCCCTGCTTGGTGGCTGCTTCGCATGAGCCTTCCCACCCTAGCAAGCACCGAGTGGGGTGACTCGGTCCGTCTCTCGGCTTTCGGGACTCCGCTTGGGCTGGTTGAGTCTTGCAACAAACCCTCTGCCAGTTTTGGGTTTGGAAGCTCTCGCTGTTCGGGTGCCTCTCGCTGCCGTCCCGTGTCCTCTGCCCGGTCTCGCGCGGCGTTACTGACACCTCTTTCCATTCTCTCTGTCTCTCTGCAGCCTTTACTAGGGAAGGCATGCCTGTAAGTATCTTCTTGCGTCTTATTCCCCCTTTTGCCCCCTTTCCATGTCTCTTGCCATCTCACTGGTTGTTTTGTTGTTGCTGTGAAACCAGGCTGGGGCGTGGACTTCTTGGAGCTAATATTTCTCTGTGTGTGGGGGATTTGAATGCATCTTAGGAAAGGTAAAGAGGAGACTGTGGGTGCTGCTTTGTCCAACCCCTAAGTATCCTAGTTTGATTAAATGTCCCAATTTTGTTGAGAAATGAAGCAAATTATCACTTGCCCTCTCTCAGTGATGTCTAAATTCCCTGCCGCCTCCTTGGACAGTCACAGGATGGGAGATGCTGTTGGGTTTTCTTGGGGTTATCTCCTCTGCGATAGCATGTTGTACTGTAGGTGATAGACCCAGGTGGTCTGTCCTTCCTAGGGGCTCCGAGTTGTGTCTGTGAGTGATGGCACCAGACTGATCCCTGAGAAGGTTCTGACCTCAGACCCAAGCAGGGTTTTATCACCTGCATGGGAGCAGGAGTGTGTTTTCTGGAGCTGGCCTGATCCTGGGTCCCGGCCTCTGCAGTTCTGCAAACCTGGATTTTGGGGAGAGTCTGCCTATATGTCTTGGGCAGAGTAGATGCAAGGGTATTGTGCTCTAGCTCTAGTAAGAAAGCAAGATGCCTTGAGCATTTAATGCAGTAATTATAAATAATCAAGGCTTCAGTAGTTTGGCTCAGTGCTGTTAGATCCTTGTGTAATGGGGACAGGACAGCTTCTGGATAAATTTGAAGCCTTTGGACTTAATTCATGCTATGTCATTGAGTTGAGAGCGGCAGTTGTTGGAAGCTGTGCTCAAATGTCTTAAAGAGCAGAGAGACTTTGGGGCTGAGCTGGGGCTGGGGTAGTGCCCAGGGGTTGTCTTTTGCCCCTATAAACCAGTTCAAATCAGCCTACGTGCATCCCGGTCTTGGTTCATTTTATGGGCTGAAGATGGAGGAATCTGCTATAACATGGCCCGGCCTCAGCCCTGCTTGCACATAACAGCTGGTGAGCCTCACGTTTCTTCCCCTTTTAGGGTAAATGTTGTTGAGAAAAGGGAAGCTAGGAAGGTCACACTTGGCTTTGCTGGTGGATAGGTTGGGGAAGAGCATCACCCGCATGCTCCTGGGCGAATGTAGAGGTTGCTCAGCATGGCCTGCATGTCTGTGCTCCTTCCCTTGCTCCTCATGGGCACAAAAGCCCCTGATGGGCACAAAAGCCCTGGTCTTCTTGGGTTGCTTTGAAAGCAGTTTTGGTTTTGTCCATCCCTCCATCCACCTTTTTCCCATCCATGTTGCATTTAGAAGCACTGCATGCCTCAGTGCTGGCAGGGACACTGAAAACACACTCCCATGTTGAGTTTGGGAGGTGGCTGCATCAAGTTTTGCTAGACCAGGAGCTCTGTTGGAGCAGGCAGTGATGGTACCCATCCCAGCTGTAGGCTGGCAGCAGCAGGTTTAAAATCTCCAGCTGCTGGGAGTCTGCCTCCACCTACTAGTGTGGGACTTAAAGGTTGCTTTTGAGGGAGCGAAGAAGACACCCCAAAACAAAGATTTGGTGTCAGTACCTCTCTTGGAGGCTGTTGTCTCATGTGCATGTGTCTGGTCCTCGCTATGCCCCACCACAACCCATATGGAGTCAGGGGAGGTGGAAGGTACCCGCTTTCCAATTTGCACCAGGGGATTTTGTTGGCAGTGGGTGCTTGGCTGCATCAGCCCTTCCTGTTGGGGTCTTGACCCCCTTCCAGGAGGACCAGGGGACACCTGGAGAGGCTGGGAGCATGGCTGTGTACCTCAGAGTCCTCCTGACTGTGGGATTGAGCCAGTTTGGGGTTGCGGGACTACCTGGCACGATGATTTCCTGTTGCTTGGTTTGTGATCCAAAGTGCACTATTTAACAACGACCTGATCCCCTCCCTTCTTCTTCCCCTTCACTTTTCATGCTTAAAGACGACCCGTTTGTCACTTTCTCAAAGTTTTCTCTTTACTAATATTTCCAAGGTAAATGGCTGTGGTGCATGTGCCTTTTCCTAACCCTCCTCCTGTCTCCTTAGATAACAGAGAACAGCTCAGCCTGCTCTGTCTTGTAGCCTGGCCAAGGTTCCTGGTGCTTGTAAGAGGCAGTTTAGGTAGTAAAAGCAAAAAGCAAAAAAAATGTTGAGAAACCTTCCTAGCTGTTCCCTAGTCCTTTTTTCCCCCACCCTGTTTCATGTAGTTTTGTGAACTGGGAAATGTCCTTGTTGTGATCATCTCCCCTTGGGTTTCTCTGCTCTCCTCCAGCCACCATCCTTGGGGCTGGTCCTGCTTGTGTTTAGCTGGTTGTCTCTGGTTTTGTGGTCCTCACCGCATGCTGGTGGGTGCCCGTTGTTGCCACTCTGCACCAGGGCTGTGTCCGAAGCAGCTCTAGGGCCCATGCAGCCTCACAGGGCGTCATCGAGGGAGTGGGTCCTCCTGCCACACTGCTGCTGGTGGCTGGTGCCCATGCTGACTCCTTGGCATGGCTGGCAGGAGCTGCATCTTCTTGGCAGTGCGAAGGATGGACGGTGACCTCCTTGGTAGGTGGGGGGGATGCTGCCCACCCTCAAGGGGAGCAAGAGAGAGAAATTTAATTGGGCTCCTTGAATGAAGACTGTGGTCTCATGTCACCTTGTCTTGCACGGATCAAAGGGCAGCGTCAGAAGTGCAGACTGGGTGGAGTGGGAGGTTGCCTTATTTTTAGGGGTATCTCTGCCAGATTCCCACCCTGTAGTTAAAGCCGGATGATGCTTGAGGGGAGGGGTGTGGGTGGCAAGTCAGCACATCCCCCCTACCTCTCTCCTTGGGTGGACAGTGTCCTCTTCTCTGTGGTGGATGCTTTCGTAGTGACCTGTGCCGTGGCTTTCTGTTACTGCCCCTGTCCCCTTCTTGATGTGCACGTAGAAGATGCTGCCGGGATGGGGTCCAGCATGATCCCCAACCCCGGTCCTTCCCCTCTCGTTGCAGAACATGAACAACTCGCAGAAGCCGTTGTGACTCCGTTGGCGCTGTCCTGAGGCCACCGGCGACGCCAGCTTCCCATCCCATCACCATTTCCGAAGCTTGCTTTATAAACCGGTCTCCTCCATCTGTGGCGAGGTAGACCCTCGGCTGTTTCTACCTGCACCCGTCCATCTGCAAACCGCTCTGCTGAAGGGGAGAGAGACGCGGGAGAGCGGAGGAGAGGACCTGAGCTCCCTGGAGGCACCACCAGATCTTTAGGCTGCAGCGTTTGCTCTCCTCTCCGGCGTCCTGTTAGATCGTAGCAAGCTGTAAAGTGCTTCTAGCCCACAGGAGTTTAATTTTCCTCTGTAAGCGGTTTTGATCTCCTTTTGTATAGACAATTGGTACCCACCCGTCTCCGGGTGGGTTGTATATATGTGGATGGTGCGGGGTTAGCGAAGAAATAGGGGGAAGAGGGGGGAGCGAAGGGGTTTTGCATTTTTTTTATTATTATTATTATTATTAATTACTCATCAAGAAAGCCCCTAACACACTATGCTGCGGTCCTTTACCCACGCTACAGCCTGTCACACACGCACAGCCCGGCTCACCCAGGCCCGCGAGCACCAGGAAGGCAGTTGTGTGAAGTCCTTCACAGCGAGAACTGCTGGGTTTAACCAAAAACTTTTTTTTTTTTTCTTGATCAATACACCTTAAAGGGATTTGCAGAGAATGTAGATCTGCTTCTAAAACTGGTCGCGAGGTGCCTGTAGCGTAGGAGGAGCCACACCAGTGGTGGCTTGGGTAATGTTTTCATCTCGGGGAGCACGTGGGGATGCTCCCAGTTGAGGCGTGTGTCGATTTTTTGGGAAGACTGAGGACCAGCTGAGGTGCTGTGCTGGTACTTCATCTCCCCTTTCCTCTTCCTTGGAGGAAAACTGAGATTGCAGGGGGGTTGGTGTGTTTTGACTCCCTGTGTCACTGCAGGACTTAGCAGGTGAACAGGCTGAGCTAGATGCGTTTCGCAGACACACAGGTCTCATGGAGGTGGCCAGAGGTCTGGCCGGGAGGCAGGAGTCCCTGTGTGCCTGCAAAAAGCTACAAGAATGGACAGTTTTGTCTGTGTTCTCATTTTTCTTTTTTTATTTCATATATATACATGCGCACACATGTGTGTATATGTGTATACCTAGAAACCGCTTGGTTTTTGCACTTTATTTGTGGCAGGAGCATAACTATTTTATCTTTTTTCAAGTCATGCCCTTTAACAGGGGAGGCCTGAATACATGCAACTGTTTTTTTTTTTGTTTTGTTTTTTTTTTTTTTTAAATTTTATTTTGCATGCTGGAAAGCTGGGACTACAAAAAAACAGTAGTTACAGCATTCGAGGTGGGGGGGAATGGGGCAAGGTCCTGACTTAGACTCCATCAGCCAGCTCCCGGTGGTTTGATACACGAGATCCCTTCTTGGCAGCCTGTCCCAGGCTGTGAGACAGTGGTTAAAAATGACAATTAACCACTATTGCTTTGTGCAAAAGTCTGTGGATTTTGAGGTGGGTTGTGGGGGTTTTTTTTGGGTTTGGGGTTTTTTTTTTTTTCCTTCCTACTCCAATGTGCAGCATCTTCTTCATCCCCATCTCACGCTTTTTGCTTGTACGGTTGAGCTGGAGGCAGCAGATGAAGGCAGCCAAGCCCTCCTGCAGCGCTCAGCTGGGGGATTGGAGATGGCCAGCCCCTTGGTTTCAGCCTTCCCATGGCTTTCCCCAGCCCCCTGGGTGGGAAACAACATCCCTACAGATGGGAGCAGGGAGGTTTAGGAAGAAATTTTTTTTTTTTTTTTGTGTGTGTGTGGTTTGAGAGGGGTTTGGTCTGTTTTTCCTTTGGGAAAAGGCGAACCACAGTGCCTAGTGCTTCAGCCTCGTGCAGCCGAAGCGCGTGCTTGGAGCGGCACCGACGGCGGGAGGGGGCCAGGACCACGCTTGGTCTGTATCCGCCCGGGGGAGAGATGGTCTTGGCGGC